AAGTGACGAAAGGCTTGTTCTTGGGGATTAATTCCCTATACTTTACTTTTAAAGGATGTTACTAAGATATTTGAAGAAATAAAGGCTAAGACATGTCCCAAGCCATGGACCTAAACCACTGCCTAAACATCTAATACTAGATGAGATTTAAGGGTATATAATGTCTATGTTTAAGTGTTCTAACAGGGTGGTGTTTGCTGTGCCCATGACAACTTCATGAAGGTCAAATGGAGGCACTAAGGCCAAATGTTGTAAAGTGCCCGTCTCATTGGAAAGTAGGGAGGTTAAGTTTGGCTGACAGTTTGTCACAGCATTCAGAATAACTGGGGAAAGTGGAAGCTGACACACTCTGGGATGTTAACTAATTCACAACCTGCTAATGGGAAATCCGGAAAGTTTGCCATTTTGACCTTGTGATGCTTTGAGTAAGAATGACCCCCAGGGGCTCAGATATTTGAATTCCCAGACTTAGCACACAGTACGACTCTTACTCACCACACAGTAGGACTCCTGAAAAGATTGACGGACAGTAAGTGTGGCCTTGCTGGAGGAGGTGTGTCGGTGGGGAGTGGGCTTTGAGGTTTCGAAAGTCCAAGCCAGGCAGGCCCTCAGCCTGTGGATCAGGGTGTAGCTTCAGCTTCTCTCCAGAAATTGCATATTCTCCATGCTCCCCACCATGATGATAATGGAGTAACCCTCTGAAACTCTAAGTGAGGCCTAGTAAATGCTTTTCCTTACAAGAGTTGCTTTGCTTACAGAGTCTCTTCACAGCAGTAGAACAGTGTCTACAGTAGACTAACAGCACACCACAGGTTCAATCTTGTTTGGGTCATCCTGGAATTGTGTGGTCAGGGTTTTAACTGAAGTCTAAACAATCAGTTTATCCCCTGAAACCTCAGCATTTCAAAGCATCTGCTATTTGGGTCCTAGAAGGTAATATTAGTTGGCACAGTGCATGAGGTCATTCTCCCCATGGAAGGTGCTCAAGTTAGGATGATAAAGATGACCTAGAACTAGAGTTCTGCTTTCTCTTCGCAGTATGGTCCTCCTTTATGTAGAGGAAATTGAGAACTACAACATGAAGAAACAAGTGAGCATGTTGGCACATGCCGTTAATCCTAGCACCGGCAGGGAGAGGGTTTTGGGGCAATAGATGGTAGCTAAGAGGAACCTTGGAACACATTCTGCCAGGAGCTTCCCATTGTCTACAGTAGATTAGGAACTAAATCCTGGAGTCTGGCCGTCTTCCCTTCTTATACCCCCATATCTAAAATAGGAGATTATATTTCAGCGTCTTTGGGGTAGATTCCTACATTTTAACTTTTAAAAAGAGTGTTGTTTATTCTTAGGTGGTTTCACCCCTACATGTAGTATATCTTGATTGTATCCGCCCCTAACTCTCCCATCACTCCCTTCTGACACCTCCCAGCATCCCTCCTCCACCTTCCCCACCATCTTAATGCAAGAAATCAATAATCTTAGAAAAAACTTCCCTAGTCTAGAAAAAATGGAATTCGCTAAGTCGGTAGTCACGTACCAGCCAAATTTTGTGTTTCTCCTTTTCTTCAAACTAAAGACCCCTTGTCCTAGCCCTCCAAATGCTGGGGTTATAGGAAGGTGTGCACCACTCTGTTCACCTGAGGAACTGCACTTTGAGGGGTGGTATGACCCAACTGTTGGCCAAGTTGTGGGGAAGTTCCCAAAGACTAAAGTTGGAACCTTGAGGTTAAAGGTGAGAATAGAATGAAGAGACCCAGTAGCCAGAAGCGGCCTGTCCTCATGGCTTGTGGAGCGGGGAGATGAGCAGAGCCCGGGTCAGGTTTCTGGCTTGGCCATCAAGGCAAATGGTGGTTACTGCCAAGGTGGGAGCTTAGAACACTCGGGGACTTGATCTGCTGATTGATTTGGGAAGGTAGGAACTCACTGGAAGGTGTTTTTCACTCAAGTAGATGGTTAAATCCTGCTTCTTCTTATTCCATGGTCACCTTTGGTGGGGGCAGTTCACGGGAGCATTGGGGGAAAGTGACCCTTGGTGGGCTCTGTGGCCAGGCAGTATCACAGACGGAGCCTAACTTTACTATTGGGCACTTCCGGTCATTCACCCAGTGGAAGAATTCTTGTATATGAAAGGCTGTATAGTTAGAAATCCAGTAGTTCCTGCTAGTAATT